GCCAACGTGGCAGCCGAGGTCCCACGGGGAAGGAGTCGGGCCAAGAAAGGGTAGGAGGTGGGCAGGAGCCAGAGGCCACTTCCCAGGAAGCTGGTGACGCCTAACCTCCAGGACCCTGTTCACACAAAGTTCTTGAGCAGCTGCTGAGTGCCCCAGGCAGGGAGGGGGTCCAGGTTGCTACCAGGAAGCACTTAATGTAAGCATTTCTGGGAAATGGCCTCAAAGAAAATCTCAGAAGAAAGGAATTTGAAGCTTGAGAGCCTCCAGAAATTTGTTATGATTTCTTTTCCCATTCTTAATAAATGTTCACTTTGGTACCCAGTTTTATATTCAAAATTCTATTTTATGTCCTTTTTCTTAAAGACTGTCCCCTAAAGTTAAAATGAACACTACGATGTGATATCACAGCCTAACTCACCAGAATGGAGCAAGTGAAAAAGGCTACAATATCTCTCTCTATTTATACATTCCACTACACACACACACACACACACACACACACACACACAGTGTCCATGCAGATACGGAACAAGAACTTTCGTATGTAACTGGGAGAGCAATGAGAATTGGTATGACCACTTTGGAAAACTATTTGCAGTATCTTCTAAGCTGAACGCTCATTTTTCCCGACGAGGCAGTAATTCCTCTTGTGGACGTTTACCCAACAGAAATGAGCCTGAGTGTCCTCCGAAAGACACGTGCAAGAATGTTTTTATTGTTTTTCATAATATCCCAAAGCTGAGAACAGCCTCAAAGCCCAACACGAATGTGATAGATAGATAGATAGATAGATAGATAGATAGATAGATAGAGATCTGTGGTGGTGGAGGGGCTCTCCGCAGTAGCGCAGGGGTGGGAAGACACAAAGTACAGCCGCACGCCACAGCTCGCTTGAATCTCACAGACGTGTGAAGCAAAAGATGCCAGACACAAGGTACACGCTGAATGATTTCATTCATGTGAAGTTCAACACCAGGCAGGACTCCTCTATAATGTGAGAAGTGGCTCCCGTGAAGGGATGGGTAATAACTAGAAGGGACACCGGGGGGCGGGAGGGGGGGCAGGTGTCTGCTTGTCAGTAAAGGCCTGATTCTTTTTTTTTTTTAATATAATTTATTGTCAAAATGGCTTCCATACAACACCCAGTGCTCATCCTGACAAGTGCCCTCCTCAATGCCCATCACCCATTTTCCCCTCTCCCTCACCCACCATCCACCTTCAGTTTGTTCTCTGAAGTGACTTAAAAATCTCTTATGGTTTGCCTCCCTCTCTCTCTGTTCGTAACTATTTTTTCCCCTTCCCTTCCCCCATGGTTAAGTTTCTCAAGATCCACACATGAGTGGAAAAATATGGTATCTGTCTTTCTCTGCCTGACTTATTTCACTTAGCATAACACCCTCCACTTCCATCCATGTTGCTGCAAATGGCCAGATTTCAATCTTTCTCACTGCCAAATAGTATTCCATCGAATATATAAACCACGTCTTCTTGATCCGTTCATCAGTTGATGGATACTTAGGCTCTTTCCATAATTTGGCTATTGTTGAAAGCGCTGCTATGAACATTGGGGTCCATGTGCCCCTATGCATCAGCACTCCTGTATTCTTTGAGTAAATTCCTAGCAGTGCTATTGCTGGGTCATAGGGGAGTTCTATTGTTAATTTTTTGAGGAACCTCCACACTGTTTTCCAGAGCAGCTGCACCAGTTTGCATTCCCACCAGCAGTGTAGGAGGGTTCCTGTTTCTCCACATCCTTGCCAGCATCTATAGTCTCCTGATTTGTTTATTTTAGCCACTCTGACTAGTGTGAGGTGATATCTCAGTGTGGCTTTGATTTGTATTTAGTAATGGTCTGATTCTTGAGTTCAATGCCAGTTTCCATGGGCGTGTTCAGTTTGGGGAAATTCATCACACTGTACACTTATTATGTGTCTTTTCTGTTTTTTTTTAATGTTTATTTTTGAGAAAGAGAGAGAGAGAGAGAGAGAGCGCGTGCGCCAGTGGGGGAGCAGCAGAAAGAGAGGGAAACACAGAATCCAAAATGGCCTCCAAGCTCCGAGCTGTCAGCACACAGCCTGACACAGGGCTTGAACTCACGAACCGTGAGATCATGACCTGAGCCGAAGTTGGACACTTAACCAACTGAGCCACCCAGATGCACTTACGTATGACTTTTCTATATATGTGTTGTATTTAATAACCCTTCCCTCTCCTATACACACACAATGGTGAAAGCTTCAAGCTCCTTAAAACTTGGGCCTGCCCTTGAGACCAGGGAAGGATTTCTCCTCCAGCAGACATTGCCCCCGGAGGGGTGTGAGCAGCGAGTGATAATGACTTCCTTGATGCTTTAGGAAGCTCCCTCCAGCCTCCCAGGTGGGTGGAGACACAGGGGAAGATGTGGAGCTGTCCAGTGAAGGGGGAAGGACAGAGAAGTCTTCCTTGGTGGGACCTCAAGGGCAAGACCAGCGTAGGGGAGGTGGAGGTGGGTGGAGAGATCGTTCGGGCAAAGAGGACACTGGACTCAAACAGGGGCAACCAGTGTGAGGGGCTGAGGGGTAGAGGGAGGTCTGGTCTCTGACAAAGAGCCAGGCACCCCGGCACCACCAGGCCTAGCTCCCCCTCAAGCCAGCTCCCCCTTCACTCCCTCCCAGGCCTGGCCAGCCCCACCCTGGCAAACTCTGAGGGGCCCACGGCCAGCTCCCGGTAGCCACTCCGACCCTCACAGTTCTGACAGTTTGTCTCTCTTTGGTCATGGCTCTGGTTTTTCCTTTTCCTTGTTCCTGCTTTATTGATCCAAGCCTTCATGAGGGCCTCCCCAGGCGAACTTCAAGTTTGGCGATGTTATATGTTGCGTCTCGAGGCCCCTGCTGGCCCTGGTGAGGTGGGCGGCACTAACCCATTTTATGGGTGAGGAAAATGAGGCTTGATGAGGCGAGGTAACCTGGGGCCAAGATCGCCCGGCCGAATGAGGAGCAGAGCTAGATTTTACACACCAGCTGCTATCTCTTAGCACTAAGTGGTGCCAGGCCTATGAACGCCAAGCACCGTGCGTGCATTCACTGGTCCAGTCCTCACAATGACACAGTGGTGGAAGCTGCAGTTATCATCAGCCCCTGACAAAGCCTGCCTACGGAAGCCTTGCATACGGGTGCAGAAAAGTGCACAAGGCACCACAAACACCAGTGAGTTTCCACAAACACCCACCCACGGTGGGTCCGTGGGCCCACGTCACAAGGGTCCGGGATCCAGAATACAGAAAGGACTCTTACAACTCAACCTTAAAAAAGCCAAATAACCCAATTTATGAATAGTAGGCAAAGGATTTAAATAGGTAGTTCTCAGAAGATCCACACATGGCTAATGAGCACATGAGAAGATGCTCAACATCATTAGCCACTGGGAATTGAAAATCCAAATCACAGAGATGCCACTTCACACCCACCAGATGGCTATGATCAACAAGACAGATAATGACAAGTGTGATGAAGATGTAGAGAAATCGGAGCCCTCATCGGCTGCTGCTGGAAACACAAAATGGCGCAACTAACTTTGGAAAACAGTTTGACAGTTCCTCAAAAGATGAAACAAGTATAGTTACCATTTGACTCATCAATTCCACTCCTGGTGGAATCAGAAAATAAAAACATACGTCCACGCAAAAGCTGAACACAGATGTAGCAGCGTTATTTACAGTAGCTAAAAAGTAGAAATAACCCAACTGTCCATCAACCCACAAATGGGTAATAAATTGTGAGACATTCATATAATGGAATATTATTCAGCAACAAAAAGGAATGTGGTGCTGATACCTGCTATAGCATGGATAAACCCGGTACCCTTTAGGCTAAGTGAAAGAAGCCAGTCATAAGAGATCATATATTGTATGATTCCATTTATATGAAATGTCTGGAATAGACGAATAGAAAGTAGATCAGTGGTTGTCTAGGGCCAGGGGTGAGCGAGGGAGGGGGTGGAGTCAAGAGAATGGGGAATCACTGTTAAACGAGCACTTTCTCTTTGAGGATGATGAAAATGCTCCAAAATTAGATTACGGAGATGGCTGCACAACTCTTAAATATGCTTTAAAACCATTGAATTGTACACTTTAAGTGGGTGAACTTTATGGTATATAAATTATATCTCGATAAAGCTGCTTAAATACAAAAAATACTCCATGCCTTTATTCATGCTGTTCCCATGCCTGGATTGCCCTTACCTTCTCCTATTTCTCTGAATGTCCAAAAATAACTGGTTCCCAAGGCCCAATTCAAATGCCATTGCAAAGATTGTCTGGATCCATTCCCGTCAGACGTAATTTCTCTTTCCTCCAAACTCTCGTGGCGATTCCCATCATTCACTCAGAGATGATTTATAAGGCACATACCGAGTGTCTGACACTCATTACATTTCATACGATTATTTAAGTACCCAGTTCATCCCTGCTACTCTGCTGTAACCTTTTGGAGGGAGAAAATTGTATCTTGTTCCCTTCTGTGAACTCAGAACCCAGCCATGTGACAACTGGCACACAGAGGCACTCAAGGAAGGTATGTGGAATTCATTCTCAATTTCCTTTTCCTCACATCACCCCTCCCACCAGGAAACATAAGGATATAAAATGGTTGAAGGTAAAAGGATGGACTAAAATCCAGCTTGCAAAAGAATTGTTCCATGACTATATTAATATAAAATAAAAGAGGCTTTGTTGCTAAAAGTATTACCAGAGATGAGAAAGGTGCTGTACGATTATAAATGTTTTAATGAACTATTTTAATTTAATAAACACTTAATGACAGTTTCAGAATGTACAAAACAGAAATGGACAGAACTATTAGAAATAGTCAAATCCAAGTCATAATGGGAGATTTAGTACCTCTCAGAATTTGACAGAACATGGAAACAAAAAGTCAGTATGGATACAGAAGATGTATATATCAGATAGGAATAGGTTATGCAACAGTAACAAAAAATGCAATAAAGATTTATTTCTTACTCACACAAAGTTCAGCCATCAGGCAATTCTTGGGGCAGATTTCCTCTGTGGAGTGACCTAGGGATCCAGGGTCACATGCCTCTCATGTGGCTCTCATCACATGCCTCAGTCGTCTCAATGTGTGGTTTCACAGATGCTTCTAAAGAAGAAAAAAAAATGGAGGTAGCCCACTGGCTCTTAAATGCCTTAGCCCAGAAGTTAAACATACCGCTTCCATTCATATCTCTTTAGCTAGAGCTGGTCACATGGCCTCTCGTATCTCCAAGGGTATGGAAAATATATATCCATATATATATCTATATCCACCCCAAAAGAGAAGAATCAGATAGGAGTGAGCATTTGTAGTCTTTACTCGAAGGATTTAACTAAAATGATGAACAGACTTGACCTAATGGACGTGTATAAATAACTGCATCCAACACCTCATTTTCAAACACATGAGACAATTTACAAAATTTGACTATAATCTGAGCTATAAAGCTAGTCTCACCAAATTTCAAAGAACCAAAACCACATAGAGCATATTATCTAAACCACATAGAACATATATCTAAAATTCCTTCTAACTGATGTAAATCAATTACAAGATAATTGGGAATTCTCCATACGCCAGGAAACGTAAAAACATACTTCTAAATAACCCATAGGTTAAAAGTGGAAGTGATAAAGGAAGCTAGAAAATATTTTTAATCAAGTGATAATGAAGAAAATTTATGTCAAAATTTATAGGTGTGAGACTTTAGCCTCTACTACAAAGCTGTCATCATCAAGACAGTATGGTATTGGCACAAAAGCAGACACATAGACCAGTGGAATAGAATTGAGAACTCAGAATTGGACCCAAAAGTATACAACCAACTAATCTTTGACAAAGCAGGAAAGTATCCAATGGAAAAAAGACAGCCTCTTTAACAGATGGTGCTGGGAGAACTGGACAGCAACACGCAGAAGAAGAAATTCTAGATCATCTTCTCACACCATACACAAAAATAAACTCAAAATGGATAAAGGACCTGAACGTGAGACAGGAAACCATCAAAACCCCAGAAAAGAAAGCAGGAAACAACCTCCTTGACCTCCACCGCAGGAACTTCTTACTTGACACATCCCCAAAAGCAAGGGAATCAAGAGCAAAAATAAACAATTGGGACCTCACCAAGATTAAAAGCTTCTGCACGGCAAAGGAAACAATCCATAAAACTAATGGGCAACCGATGGAATGGGAAATGATAGTTGCAAATGACATATCAGATAAAGGGTTAATATCCAAAATCTACAAGGAACTCAACAAACTCCACACCTGAAAAACAAATAATCCAGTGAAGAAATGGGCAGAAGATATGAACAGACACTTCTCCAAAGAGGACATCCAGATGGCCAACAGACACATGAAACGATGCTCAGCATCCCTCCTCATCAGGGAAATACAAATCAAAACCACACTGAGATACCACCTCACGCCAGTCAGAGTGGCTAAAATGAGCAAATCAGAGAACTCTAGATGCTGGCGAGGATGTGGAGAAACGGGCACCCTCCTCCACTGTTGGTGGGAATGTAAATTGGTGCAGCCCCTCTGGAAAATGGTGTGGAGGTTTCTCAAAAAATTAACAATAGAACTCCCCTATGACCCAGCAATAGCACTGCTAGGAATTTACCCAAGGGATATAGGAATGCTGAGGCATAGGAGCACATGTACCCCAATGTTCATTGCAGCACTCTCCACAATAGCTAAAACATGGAAAGAGCCTAAGTGTCCATCAACGGACGAATGGATCAAGAAGATGTGGTTTATCTATACCATGGAATACTACATGGCAATGAGAAAGGATGAGATCTGGCCATGTGTAGCAACACAGATGGACCTTGAGGGTGTTACGCTGAGTGAAATAAGTCAGGCAGAGAAGGACAGATACCATATGTTTGCACGTGTAGGAGGATTAGGAGGAACTTGATGGAGGAACAAGGGGGAGAAGAAGGGCGGAAATAGTGGGGGAAAGGGAGAGAGGTAAACCATGAGAGACTCTTGAATGCTGAGAACAAATTGAGGACTGATGGGTGAGTGTGTGTGTGTGTGGGAGGGGGTGATGGGCATGGAGGAGGGCACTTGTGAGGATGAGCACTGGGTGTTATATGGAAACCAACTTAATAAACTATTTGTATAAAAAAATTTAAAAAAACATAGGTGTGGGTAAATCGGTATGTAGAGGGAAATTTATAGTCTTACATGTATATGTCAGAGAAGAAAAGAATCTGAAAATTGATAAACACCCACCCCCAAGATGCTGGAAAAGGAATATCAAAACAAATCCAATAAAAGTAGGAAGAAGTAAATGGTTAAGGCAAAAACAGAAATTAATAAAATAAGAAAGCAAAGATTAAAAACAGAGCTAGAGCAACAGAGCCAAAGTTGGTTCTTTGAAAAGAGAGTCAAACTGACAGACCATCTGAATAAAACTTGTCTAGAGGATAACATAAATGGTCCCCCCGAGCCCCCTAATCTTAGGAATAAAAAGTGAGATATCACTACAGATACTGCCAACATTAAAGCACAAAAGAGGATGTTCTGAGCAATTTTGAGTCAATACATTTGAAAATTTAAATGAAATGGACAACATCCTGGGAAGACATACCAATTTTGACTCAAGACAAAATGGAAAAGCTCCGTAATCCTCTAACAAGTAAGGACATTGAATCAGTTGTTAAAACCCTTTCCCATATAGAAAATTCAGCTCTGGATGGCTTCATTGACAAGTCCTATCCAACATTCAAAGAAGAAACTATTTTCATTTTTGACAAACTCTTCCAGAGACTAGGAAAACAGTGAACAATCTCCAATTCATTTTATGAGGTTAACACAACCTGCATATTCAAACAGGACAAAATATGGCATCAAAGAAAAATTACAGCCCAATTTTACTCATATATAGAAATGATAAAGTGTGAGCCACAAAAACCTATCAATTCACAAAAGTATACCACAACTGAAACGGACTAATCCCAGGCATTCAAGGTTGATTTAACATTAGAAAATCCAGTAAAGTAATTCAGAACATAAACTGATTCAAGGACAAAAACCTACATGCAGACAACGACTTGATAAAAATTTAACACTTTTTCATGATTTAAAACTAGTTTTAAAAAAAGGGAGGGGGGGTGGGTATCTGGGTGGCTCAGTCAGTTGAGTGTCTGACTCGATTTCAGGTCAGGTCATAATCTCATGGTTCATGGGATCAAGCTCTGTGTTAGGGTCCATGCTGACACCATGGAGCCTGCTTGGGATTCTCTCTCTCTCTCTCTCTCTCTCTCTCTCTGCCACTCCCCTGTTTGTGTGCACTCTCTCTCTCTCAAAATAAATAAACATTAAAAAACTAATAAAAAATAGGATATTGTGAACAGACGGGGATTTCCATAACTTGATAAAGATTATGTCTGCAGCTAACATGGTAAAATATTGCAAGTTTTCCCTTTGGAGATCAGAGACAAGGCAAAAATGTTCATTGCATTTACTCAACATTTGCTGGCAGGCTTAGCTAGTGCAGCAAGGCAAGAAAAAGAAATAAAAGATGTAACATTTGGAGAAGAAACAAAACAGTCATCTTTTCAAAGTAACATAATTATGTATAGAGAAACCTCAAAATAACCTGCAGCTATGTTGTTTAAATTGACCACAAAATTTAGCATTTTTATTGGCTACAAAATAAATATCTTAAACTATGTTTCTCTATAACAATCTATTGAATGATTGGATGAAGCTGCTGGTGGGAAGGCTTGTATTTGTGGGGCTAAAAGGCCGTCTGAGCTTCTGAGAGATGAACCTGTGGGAACAGACTATGGGCTGGGAACAGACTATGGGAGTGAGCTCCACATTACCAGAAGGGTGATTCAAGCAGGAACAGGATGGGCTGTGTCCAGAGGGGCTGGGAAAAGAACTTGGGCTTATTGTGAGAGGTTTGAGATGTCCCTCACCAGACTGGGCCTCCGCTCTTTGCACAGTCAGTCCCGGAAGGTGGCTTGTCTTCTTTTCTCTTTGACTCCTCTGTCAGCTTAATCCCTTTGGTACACTGGGTTAAAATGAGCCAGGATTTACGGCTCCGGGAAATGTGTGTAACAGTCTGTAATCGTATCGCTGTCCACTCCCCTCTCCTAGGCTCTGCTTTCAGAGAAACCCACAACGGTTACTTCTCTCCCCCACCCACCCCCACTGCTCCTGCCCCACCAGACTTCGCTTCCTAGTTCAAGTTCTCTGGCAGAGGGCACAGCTGCCCTGAGTGTGGCGGGTGTTGGGCTAGGGGCTTCTCCATAAGCACAAACTCAAGGGAGGTCATTCTGTTCAGAGCCTTTAACTCCCTACTACCTAAAGTCATGGGCTTGTCCCCAACACCACAGAGCCCTTTTGTGAAGTCAAACCCTCCACACAGGGTGTTTGCTACACGCCCAGCGTCTGCCTGTTTGACTTCCCTCCATGGGCCCCTGTGAGGTAGAGCCTATTATTAGCTCTCCAAGTCACACAGTAAGTGGGGACTTGGGACCCGAACAATCTCAGTGCAGACCACACATTCCGAAACACCGTGCTACCTGGTTTGTCTGCTTTGGTTTTTGTAACTGCTTTTCTAATGCAATTTTACATGGCCCCTTAATGGCACAACCTGGGAGAGGAGACAGAGTGGGACCCTGCCCCCTCGTTTCCCCCACCTCAGTCTCTGAAGCAGGTCCCCTAACCACTAAGGCAACAAATCCCCCCTCTGCACCACGGAGCCACCAAGGAGGCAGAGTGGACGCGCACACCCTTTGGAGTCAGATCGTCCGAGTCTTTCCAGCTCTAGCCACATGACCTTGGACCTTGGTTTTCTCACCTGCAGAGGAGGGGCTCATAGGCTTTCCCACCTCGGCAGCGTTAGTGCAAGGGTTAAACGAGATGGTGCTCGGCCAGGAGGTTATCGGCCATCTCTGGGGTCATCGGCCCCCTCAGCACCTCTCTCTGGACCCTACACAGCAGACCAGGGGCCGTGAACTCTGGAACGGGCCGCGACGCAGGAGTGGAGGCAGCACTGACCCCTACCGGGGATGTGGCCGGCGAGTCCCACTGGCTCTATCTGCAGCTGGCGCATCACGGGCAGATGCAGGGAAGCCAGGCTGTTAATAAATATGTCCGTTTCCAGGCTGCCCCCGCCCCTCCCCGGCCGCTGATCCGACAGGCACCACGAGAGAGCAAGGGACCAGCTGGCGGCAGCCCCAAACGTTGGCTGAGCCACTAGATAACTCTGTAATGAACTGTCCCTCAAGCTGGAGGCATTAACCTTGCTCCCAGCTGGGAGGCCCAGGCTCGGCAGTTAACCCCTCCCTCCCCAGCCCCAGGGCCGCAGAGGGCGCTGCCCATGTGGGGGAGGGCTGTATTTATTAACTGTGGCTGCCTAACAAATCACCCCCAAATTCAGCAGCTGGAAATAACAAATAATTAGTAACTCCCAGTTTCTGTGGGTCAGGAATCCGCAAGTGGCTTCACTGGCTGGTTCTAACTCAAGGTTTTCCATGAGGGTGCAATCAAGGTGGCAGCCTTGGTGGCGGTCAGCTCAAGGCTTGACTGGGGCATGAGCAGATTCCAGACTCACTCCCACGGCTGTTGGCAGGCCTCCGAAGATCCACTTCCAAGTGCACCTACACGGGCGTCTCCCTACGGCAGCCTCACGCCAAGGGAGCTGGCTTCCCCAGCGTGAGCAATGGCCAGAGCACCGGACGGAAGTCACAGTCCTTCTATAACCCAACCTTTTCACCCATCACATCCAACATATTCTTTCAGCTGCAAGTCATTAAGTGGGGCTTGCAATCAGGAAAAACACAAAGTTGTGAAAGTTCAGAGGGAGAGGATCGCTGAGACCTGTGTCAGAGGCTGCCTACGTCAGGGGCTACTGCTGGGGCAGACGTGGAGCTGAGGCCAGCTCGCCTTTGGGAGCACCTACTTGGACTGCAAGGAAGTGGCCCCAACTCCTCACTCCTTTCACCAAGCCCCAGGGACTCGAAATCCCAAAGAGCTCTCAAGTCTGACCTCTCGCTCTCTCTTGGCTGTCATGGCTCCACCCCCTTCCCGCCCCGCCCTGTCGTGTCTCATCAGGATGTCATCACTATGTCACCACCCCCTCACTGCTTCCCCCCACGTCTATTCTGCTCCCCGAATCTCCACTCGTCCCTTCCACCATTCCGCCATCTCTTCCCAACAGCATTCGGAGAAGCCTTTTCAAAACACAGATGTGGGCCGCCTGGGTGGCTCAGTCGGCTGAGCGTCTGGCTTTGGCTCAGGTCATGATCTTGCAGTTCGTGGGTTTAAGCCCCATGTTGGGCTCTGTGCTGACAGCTCAGAGCCTGGAGCCTGTCTTCGGATTTTATGTCTCCCTCTCTCTCCAACCCTCCCCTGCTCACGCTGTCTCTCTCTCTCTCAAAAATAAATAAAACATTAAAAAAACCCAACACAGATGTGACCCTGTATATCCTTGATGAAAATCCTCCGGAGGCTTCTCACATGCTCAGAGCGAAGACCCAAGTCTCCCCCAGACGGGACTCTGCAGGGTCTGGATCACCCCAAATCTCAACAGCTTCCACTCACAGCAGTGCTAGCTCCTCAGTCAGTGCCTCGAATATGCCTCTGCCCTCTGTTCACTGGCTTCGTACCTGCTGTTCCTCTTGCAGGAATGTCTTCTTGTCCCTTCGCCTTCTGGTGCCTCATCACCCTGTGGACCCGGCTCCAGTTCCTTCCCTGAAGAAGTTGTCCCCATCCGGCCTTGACGACGCCCGTGTCTCCTGTTGAAAACGTGTTCTCTTCTCACTGCTCCCTGCCTGGCGCACTGTTCCTCTACCCAGCTGCTCGCTGCCTCGCCCAGGACGGTGTGACCACGAGGGTAGCTTTTGCTAGAGAGCTCTGTTGAGGGGTGGCTGGGTGGCTCAGGCGGTGAAACGTCCGACACTTGATTTCGGCTCAGGTCATGATCTCACAGTTTGTGGGATCGAGCCCCAAATCAGGCTCTGTACTGACAGCGGGGAGCCTGCTTGGGATTCTCTCTCTATCCCTCCCCTCCTCTCAAAATAAATAAATAAACTTAAAAAATTATCTGTTGAATTAAAAAAATTAAAGCCTTCGTGCAGATGACAAAACTACAACTTTGTGATATAATTCATTAGAATCCTAGATCTCCGGGGCTCAAAGGGGGCTTAGAAACCAGCCAGCCAACCTCCTTCCTCATTTTGAGGGAGGAAACTGAGGCCCAGAGACAGGAAGTTCTTCTCAGGTTCAGGATGAGTGAGAGCAGAGAGCCGAGAAGCCAGGCCTCTGGTGTGACCCTCCACCTGCCATTCCATCTGTCATAAAAGCCCCACCTGCCTTCTGTCACCACCTAAACTTCACCACTGGCCCTTCATAAATGTCAACAGATCGCCTCCATCAGCCCTAAGCCCTCGGCACAAAAACTCTGGAAAGTGCTGGGAAGGCCTCTTGTCCGGTAAATTCTTTCCTTAGCTTTGGAACTCCTTAGAGAGGTACAACCAGTCCTGAGGACAGCCGTTTCACCCCAAACGAACCACATGTCCTGCTTTTAAAGACTCTCCTTTAGGGTTCCTCCCAAGAAAACCAAGACCATTTGAACTATTGGAGACCTGAGATGTTCTGGGCCAATTCCAGAAGGGGAAATGGAGGCCAGAGAAGGCTCAAGACTTCCCCATGGTCACACAAGGAAGCAGCGGCAGGGCTGGGACCTTGGGCCTCCTCACTCTCAGGCTCGTGCTCCCATCTCCACGGCGAGCTACAAGTAACCAGAGAGGGTTAACCTGAAGGCACCTGCAGGTTCTGACCTCAGGCCTACACATGTTTTTTAGAACAAGGATTCCTTCTCAGACTGTGGTCAGCTTTGCAGATTCCTGTCACAGGCCCTCAGCAGAGAAGAACTCTCTGCCTGCAAAAGTGGCCAACTAACATTCTGAAACCAACAGGCATTCTAAACCAAAATGCTACTGCAAACACACTGGCATGGCAAAAACCAAACGCACTGCTATCGAAAAAAATTTCCAACTGGTATTCAAATGAGTTGCCAGCCTTCAAAAAATGGAGAGATTTTTTTAATATGCAAGTCCAGGTTTCCAACTTCTCTTAGAAAAATAAGACAATCTGGCCATACTGGCTCTGTCTCCCGGCATGTTGACATTTAACTCAACTGCACAGTGCCAAGTCCCTGTCCACACGGTTGGCTTTGAGATCTAACTACTGATAAGTGTGTCTTCACTTCCACTGCTGTGGACGCATTTGAATTCACAGCCTTTATGCTACTGGATTTGAGAACCCCCTCTGTAAGTATTCCCCACATAAGTGGTCACATAGGCATGATTTGATGCTTCCAGGGACAGAGGGTTCACGACCAGTCTGTTCCATGGCTGGTCACAGAGCTCTGGGATGGAGGGAGAGCTTGATTTGAACCATGGCTTATCTGAGTCCATGTATAACAGGCCATGCTATAATTTAATACCAGAGCCTAATGAACTTGTGCGTGCCTCATAACCAGGATTCTCCATGCTTGTTTTGGCTGAGGCAGAGAAGAAAGCTGCTCTTAGGAATAATGTCACAGACTTCTGGGCCATTGAAATGAAGCCCAGATCCATTGGATTATGGGCAAACCAGGGGCCCGGTCTGGATGTCCTTTTTGAAGTTTCAAGGGCATCCACCAGCAATATCAAAAGAGGATTTGGAGGTCCATCTTTGGGTTCTTGAGCAATGACAGCTCTTAGACAGACTGACTTTCTATGACCGTGCCAGGAGCTGTCACCACCACCCATGTTTCATAATCCATGTGAGGGCAGGGGAGGGGGTGTTTGTTCTTACAGCAATGGCACTGAGCTCTTCATTAGGAAGCAGCCCAGGGAATCTGGGAAGATGCTCTTTATAGAGTTCTTGGCAAGCTTCAATTTGGGAACTTTACAATAGCCATGTCTTTTTGTTCCTACCACACTTATCAGTAGGTATATCTCAAAGCCAACAGAAATACTAGAGTCCAGGATGATGAGATCTGGGAGGGGCTGTGTATGCTTCACATCATCCAATTCTCTACCCTTGAGAATCTCCCTGCAGAGCCCCAGACAAGATGGGTCAGCCAGCCGTGGTGGGGCAACCAGTCTTCCTGATGACGGGTCAAAAGGTA